ACTACATGTTAGGTGAAAGATACATTTCATACGGGATCACTCACAAACGTAGAGTGCTTTTTCTTGTGGTGGAAATCAACATGTGAGACGTGTTCACTCTAGCATTGCTAGTGTGAAAAACTCCATTTTGGAGTTCAAATCTGTGCGTTTTTTAGTGACACCACACTCGTTTTGACTGGGGATAGCAGCTGCGCCAGTACCGGTTGACCAAACAATTAATCTTCCTCAAGTATAAGCAACTGCATGTTTCTAGGAGAGTCTCAAATTTTGTTGCAACCTTCGTAGAGGCATTTGTCACTTGTTACCTCAACTGGATAATTGTTATTTACGCTGCACTGAGTTTTTCAGGTAACCTCATCACAAGTGGATATAACCCAAAACTTAAAAATGTCACCTCCCATAAATCGATGCAATACATGCATTTGGTTAAATGCTTTGTATTGTATGTACATTTTTTGTGTGAGTTATCTCACAAGTGCCATGTATTGGAAATAATTTTGATTGGCTATTTAGCAGTAATGCCAATCCATGTAAGCATTCATAAAGATTGACTTGCAGGGTTTTTTTGGAAAGATTTTATCAGGCATAGCTTTTGAAGTGACAAGTTAATCACAGGAAGCAAATGCAGAGCACAGAAAAACTTACCTGACTGCAGGTTATTGTTCTTTCTGAAACATGCTTGTTATTCATGAATATGTCCAAAGAGTCATTTGGTGTTGCAATTTGTTTAGGCTGATGACACAATGGCGGTTTAATCGTGGAATTGAGGAGCAAACCAAAGCTTTCTTGGATGGATTCAATGAAGTTGTTCCACTTTACTGGTTGCAGTACTTTGATGAGAAAGAAATGGAGGTATTAGTGCCATTATTACTCTGACAATATGAGTGGATGGGTTTTGCAGTGCATCTGTTTTAAATGTGGTAATACACAAATCAGTGATCACTTGCCTGTTTGGTGAGTGCAGTTTCCATTTTTTGGGAAATTATTTATCCTGAAATATTGATAGCATTCCTTTTTATTTTCCATTTTGGCAAGAATATCTCTAAATGAAAACTTAACAGTGCTTTTTTATAACCTTCGTTATCCTTCAAGATGCCCATCACACATGTAGTGATACAACTG